CCGGGCATGGTGGCGCATGCCTGTAGTCCCAGCTACTTGGGAGGCTGAGGCAGGAGGATCGCTTGAGCCCAGGAGTCTGAGGTTGCTGTGAGTTAGACTGACGCCACAGCATTCTAGCCCAGGCAACAGAGCGAGACTCTGTCTCCAAAAAAAAAAAATCAGCAAAAACTTTAATGCTAAACTTGCACAAATTATATACTATATATTACTGTTACACATTTATTTCATAAATACAATTGTAAAACTGAGGGAATATTTCAAAATGTTGATAGTAGTTAATGCTGAATGACATGACCCAACAGATTTTCATTTTCTTCCATTTCCTAAAGTGTCTTCAATTACCTTGTACTATTTGCATATCTGAATCCCAGAACCTCCCCTGCAACCCGAGGGGCAATGGTGAGAATATGTGGAGGTGCTGCAGCTGAAAAGAAACTAAGACTTGGAATAGCAGCTCAGTTTTATTTCCTGCCATAACAAACATTTAAGCACCAAACAAAACAAGGGCACCCTGAGCACTCAAGAGCTGATCCAGGCAAACCTTAGGCCCCCACACTAAAGTAGCAACTACTGTGGGTGGGAATCATTGCCCTAAGGAATGATGCACTTCCTAGGAGACACAAGGTCAGACTTCTGCCCCTTTTCCCAGCCTAGGCTTAGCGAGAAACAGGGGGCCCAAAGCGCTGCATGGTCCGCACCACGAGAGAAAGCTGGTCAAGAAAGTTGATGATGGCAATTCGGAGCAGGCGAGAGTCTTCAGCTTCCCAGCGGCTAAGAGTGAGGAAAAAGGAAAATCAAGTTGGATGTAGCCTTCCTTGCTCCGCCCTTCAGGCGTCCATTACACCAAACCCTCTAGAGCCCCATTATTACACAGTGCCTCAGGCAGAAACCTGCCCAGTGCACCACACCTGCCCCTTTGACTAGGGGTCCCCAATCTTTTTGGTACCAGGGACAGGTCTCATGGAAGACAATTTTTCCACGGACGGGGGTGGGGGCAATGGAGGGCAGTGTAGCTCTGTGGCCCAGTCCCTTTAATGCTAAACTTTCAAAAATTATATTATATATTACTGTTACACACTTATTTCATAAATACAACTGTAAAACTGAGGAAATATTTCAAAATGTTGACAGTAGTTAATGCTGAATGACATGACCCAACAGATTTTCATTTCCAGACCACAGACTACTACCAGTCCATGGCCCGGGGTTTGGGAACCGTAGCCTAAGACCTAACCTGCCTGCCCCTTAGACCTAACCCGGGGGTGTCTGCATGTCCCCAACAGAGCACCCCTCCGTGGAGACTGGCCCCCTCACCTGCAGCCTCCCCCCTCACTCCGGCCCCTTGTAGAACTTACACGGCCAGGATACAGCCACTCACTGTAAGATCCTTCCCAACCGCCCTTTGGTGGGGTTCGGCATCTGGAGCCAGGGACCCATGAGCGATTTCCGCCTCCAAAGGGGTCGGGAAAGGCACGCTGAGGGCGCTGGTGGAGGTTTGATAAAGGCACCATCTAATACCGACTTTGCCTGTGTCTCAGGCCTCCTTGCTCCTCCGAAGCCACCCAAACCAATATCACCCCGAGTTCTGCTTCCACACGTCCCAGGCCATCCCCGGCCTCCCCGGCTCTGGCCACCCTTTGCCTGTACTTCGCCCCAGTCGTCCCTGGTCCCCTTCTCTATTTCTTACCGTTCCTCGACCACCCTGGACCCCTATACCCTAGCCCCCGGTTCCCCCTGCTTCCCCCACCCTGGCTCTCTTTTCTTTCTCTCTCAGCGTACCCCTCCCCCGCCACAGGCAGCCCCCAGCCCGTTCCCTGGCTGTGCCCTGGGTAGGATACAATATGTGTGGTTGGATTCCCGGCCTTATGTCCGCAGGTACTGCCTCTCTGCCCGGACTTGGGGCGTGCGGTGCCCGCGCGACATGAGGAGCCCCACCAGCCACGACTGCCGCCGTGCCCCCGCGACCAGGGTGCCTGTGGCCGTCAGCGCCGCCCGCCGCAACGCCTCCGTCTGCGTCTGCGTCCGGCATGTCTGCCGCTGCTCCGCTTCGACTCCGCCCTCTCGGCCGGCTGCCGAGACACTGTGCCTCCCTCCAGAAGCACCGCCCCTCGCGCATGACTCCACCCGCACGCGCCTGCGCAGGCCCCTGGCGAGGCTGCCAGGCGCGTGGTCAGTTCCCGCCAAGCCGGCCCTGCGGAGGCACTCCAGGACCCTGTCAGCTCCAGAGAGCCTGAGGTTCCCTCCAGAAACTCTGCCCCTTCGCGCGTGACGCGATTCCAGGGCGCCTGCACAAACAGACCCCTAGTAAGGCCTCCAGGTGCCTGGTCGGTTCCCTCCAAGCCGGCCCTGCCCCCTTGGGCAGGGGGGATTCTCGGGAAACTGAGGTTTCCTCACGAGGCTCAGTCCTTTAGAACGGGACGCAACTTGGGCTACCCAGAGCGCCAGCACAAACAGGCCCCTTGTCATTCCAACGAGCTCATGACTGGCTCCTTCCCAACCAGTCCTGCCACGGGCTTCCAGAGACCCTAGGGCTACTTAGCCAACGAGCACTCCCTCACGAAGCTCCACCCCTTAGAGCGCCCTGTAGTACCCCCAGCGCGCCTGCGCAAACCGGTCCTGCCCCAGAGTCTCTGGAGAGCTTACGTGAGGCCTTTGAGCGAGCGGTCCGGCTTCGCGTCCTGTCTCTCCCCCGGGCCCAAGTGGCCCCAAGAGATGTGGCACGATGTCCCTGCGGTGATTTGGGGAGGGAGGGTGGCGGGGTCGAGTAGTCCCCGCCACCCCCCAGGAATACTGCTCTGCACCCTGCTCCATTGCCCAACCGAAGGGGGCCTTACAGGGGACGGTGAACCGGTCAGATTAGCGTTTTAGAGTGGGCTGTGCGGGGCCCCGCACGTACGGAGGCGAGAAGTGACACTACCGGAACGAAAGTGCTGGTGGTGGGGGCAGGTCTAATAAGACACCTGAAAAGGTAGAGTGCAACGCTAGTCACGAAGATGCCACTTTAGTAAATAACGGTACACGTGCGGAGAAATCCTAGAGCAATACACCAACATGTAAATACTTGTGATCTCTGGGTGGTGGGATTGTGGGTGATCTTAATTTTCTTTTTGTGTACCCTCCCGCCCCCAGTTTTTCAAAAGTGACCTTTTATGACATTTACGATCAAAAGTTTATAAAGTGACATGAAATTTCTGAGGGTGGTTGTCGTGTTGGTTTTCTGTTTTCCTCCTTTGTAATCATAAGAAAGGATTAAACGCTAAACTATATCAGCAAATCCTGTTGAATCTCTCCTCAAAATAGACCCTACCTACATCAGCCCACTTCTCTCCCTCTCCACTGCTAGTCCCTAGTGGAAACCACTATCTCTCCCTGAACTCCTTCAACAACTTCTTAACTGTAGATTTTCTTCTACACTTGCCCCCTCTACAGCCTATTCTCCACACAGCAGAATGAGTTTTTAATTTCTACTACAAATCACATCAGATCATATCCCTGCTTAAAACCCTAAAATGATTTCCCTTTGCACTTGGAGTCAAATCAAGACTCTTTGCTATATCTTATAAAACTCAACGAGACCTGGCTCCCAGCTCCTTCTTCACCCTCTTTCCCCACCTACCTGCTCCCTCATTCTCTATCTGGGGCCTACTCTCTGCTCCCAACCAAGGGTGGCCTGCCCCCAGACCTTTGCACTTAACTCTTCTATTTGTAAGATTCTGTCCCCAAACTTTCCCATGGCTAGCTTCTTGTTATTAGGATCTGGACTCCAATGTCCCCTCCAAGAGGCCTTTGAGATCAACAATGTAACTCAGTACCCCCAGGCACTCTTCATCACATTTGCCCCTTTCAATTTGCTGCATAGTATTTCTACTAGTCTGAAATTATATTCTTGTTTTGTTCATGTCTTTATCGTTGATATTGTCTCTGGTATCTTTTCTTTTGTTCAATGCTGTATCCACAGCACTTAGGACAGTGCTGTGTATGCAGTAGGTGGTTTGTTGCTTGTTGAATGAAACAGATTACTAAGGAATTATAAAACTTTGTGACTTGTCTGGGACCCAGCAACCTGCATGTAAGATTTACTTCACAAATATGAAACAATATATACACAGGGTTACTCACTGTAACATAATTGGTAATACAAAACTACTGGACACAATGTACATGTCCATCAGCATGAGACTGGAAACATAAACGACAGTATATCCACACAGTAGTCTCACGTAGCCATAAAAAAGAATGAAATTCTCGGCCAGGCGTGGTGGCTCAGGCCTGTAATCCTAGCACTCTAGGAGGCCGAGGTGGGAGGATAGTTCAAGGTCAGGAGTTCGAGACCAGCCTGAGCAAGAGTGAGACCCTGTCTCTACTAAAAATAGAAAGAAATTAGCTGGAAAACTAAAAATATATAGAAAAAAATTAGCTGGGCATGGTGGCACATGCCTGTAGTCCCAGCTACTCGGGAGGCTGAGGCAGGAGGATCGCTTGAGCCCAGGAGTTTGAGGTTGCTGTGAGCTAGGCTGATGCCACGGCACTCTAGCCCAGGCAACAGAGTCTCCAAAAAAAAGAAAAAAGAAAAAAAGAATGAAATTCTCTAATGAAAAATGAAATCATTTCCAGGATATATTATTATGTGAAAGAAGCAGAGGGCAAAGGACGGACACACACACACACTCTCACAGACACATATGCTTATTAAAAAAAAAAAAACACAGGAAGGGTAAACCAGAAACTAATTAAAATGGTCACCTGTGGGGGTTGAAATGGGTATGGAATTTCTTGGAATATGCCTTTTTATGTAGTTTAGACTTTTGAACCATGTAAATATTTTGCATGGTTCAAAAAATAAATTTGAAAGAGTGGCAAAATCAAATGCTGTAATGGGCTAAAAACAAAACTAGGCCGGGTGTGGTGGCTGATGCCTGTAATCCCAGCTACTCGGGAGGCTTAGGTGAGAGGATTGTTTGAGCCTAGGAGGTCGAGACCAGCCTGGGCAACATAGAAAGACCCATCTCTTAAAAAATGAAAAAAAAATTAGCCAAGCACACATCTGTAGTCCCAGCTACTCAGGAGGCTGAGGCAAGAGAATCGCTTGAGCCCAGTAGTTCAAGGTTGCAGTGAGCTATGATGATAGCCCAGGCAACAGAAGTGAGACCCTGTCTCAAAACAAAAAAAACAAAAAACCTAAATGGGCCTAACTATATACCCAATTTATACCAAAACCACACAGAGAAAATAATTCAGGGCCTTTTTAAATTTAGCTGTCTTACTGTACTTCCTTTGTGGGATATAGTCTAAGGATAAAAAAAAATTGGCTCACCAGGTGCAGGGGTTCACACCTGTAGTCCCAGCTACAAGGGAGGCGGACGTGGGAGGACTGCTTGAGCCCAGGAGTTCAAGACCAGCTTGGGTGATACAGTGGTGATATAGTGAGACCTCATTTCAAAAAAAATTAATAATAATTAGCTTTACTCTTAGTATGTATGTTGTTGATAATAGTAGTGATGAGGTGAGTGTGAAGCTATTTTCGGTATACTTTAAGGTAGACTCTATCTGGTTAAACAAATGAGTAAATATATCAGAATTCTCAGTGTGGAATGAGAGAAGGTGAGAAAGAACAGTGACGTTGGACTGTAATTGGAGCTTTCAGTATGCACTCCTGAGTTCTTTAACACATTGACTGCCATGTGAGTTGTATTTAACTCAGGCTAGTTTTAGCCCTAGGGCCTTGTGAAGCAAAACCTTGCAGTTGGTTCATGAAAATCTTGTTGATGTTCTTATTACAATTTGTATTGACAATTTAATTCTAAAAATGTGGATTGTGTTGCATATAATTCATGCACACAAAACAATAAAAAAACCAAATTCTTTAGAAAGGATCATTTTGTTTTAATAAAACACTGTGGCCCCAGGGAGAAAATTTTTTTTCTAGTGTGGCAGTCAATGTGTTAAAAAAATATACGTATATACACACACACATATATTAATATATATTTCCTAGCTTTGTCTATTAAAAGGGTCTAGAAGCAATGACACCCCAGTAGCAATGAACACATCCTGCGCCCAGATCTTGTTTTCTAAATACCATTCATTCTCCACTAAAAGGAACCAGGGCTCTTTAAAGAAATGGCTGATTCTTGGGCTGGGGTAGGAAAAAATACAAGATGAGACTGAAGCATCTTGTAGTGCCAGAAAGTAAATATGTGCTTGAAAAACAAAAGGATGGGTGCATGTCAAAGTGACACCGGAGCCAACCCAAAAGAACCAAAGCTTGAACATTTTGAGCATCCAAAAATATATTAAAACTTTTGCAAAGGGTCAGATGCAGTGGCTCATCCCTGTAATCCTGCCATTATGAGAGCCCGAGGATCATTTGAGCTCAAGGGTTCGAGACCAGCCTGAGCAAGAGCAAGACCCCGTCTCTACTAAAAATAGAAAAATTAGCCGGGTGCAGCATGCACTTGTAGTCCTAGCTACTTGGGAGGCTGAGGCAGGAGGATCACTTGAACCCAGTAGTTTGAGGTTGCAGTGAGCTGTGATAACACCACTACACTCTAGCCCAGGGTGACAGAGTGAGACTCTGTCTTAATTAAAAAAAAAAAAAGTTTTGGAAAGGAGTAATGACAGGGAGGGGGCATGAGGGAAGTTTCGGGAGTACTGGCAATATTCTATATTGTGATCTGTGGGGAGAGGTACATAGATACATTTGCTCCCTTTAAAAATCCATTGATCTAAAAAAAATCTGTACACTCATGATGTATACATATTATATGATGTATGTGTGTTATAGTCCAACAGAACATTACACCCAAATTATATTTTTGGATTCTAAGTTGTTGAATAAAAAGAGTCAACAAGTCTGTGATACTCAAGAAATAAGAGCCAGAGAGAGTGGGTGGGTGGTTGGGTGAGTGAGTAAGTGAGTGAGTGAGTGAAAATTTAAAAAAGGAGGGAGAAAAAAGAAATGAGAGCAGAGAAAAAGGAAAGCTCTTCATAGAGAAATGGCAATTGATAAATGTAGAGAAAAAAGAAAGCATCAGAAAATCACCCTTTTGCAACCACCAATGTAATAACTAAGTTATTAACTTAATAACTGATTAAGGTGAGGATCATCACTGGATGGACAAACCATTAGATGAAAGTTTGTTGGGGAACAGGATATTCACATGATATCTAAATAGTATCCCAAAGTACTTGTGAATTAGGAAGGAAAAATACATCTTTACAAGGGAGAGACCTGGCAGCCACCACCTTGCATCCCTAACAGTGGGATAGCCAGACGCTGAGTGACTCCTAATGTGGGCAGAGGAGGAGAGGACATAGCATCGACCGCCCTGGATGCTTCCAGAAATTTTGTTGCCTGATTGCCTGTGGAGAAGGGCAAGTTAGGAGAGGCAAAGATGGCTTCCTACTTCATGTCGTTAAAAGCCTGGCTGAGTGGTACTGCCAATTCATTGAGATGGGCCACAGAGAACATGTGCATGCTGAGGGGCTGGCTAGTGCTGTATGTGAATGTCAAAAGGGAAATGACAGTTTCTTCCAGTCTCAGAGTTGCCAGCACTTGGGACATGGTGCGCACTCAGTGATGAAGTGTCCATAGGAAAGTCAGGAGCTGTATAGAAGTCCGACCCTAGAGAAGGCTGGAGCTCAGAAGAGAGGGCTGGGGTGAGATACAGATGTGGGAGTAACGCTCAAAAACGTGAACGAAGGTGGATGGGCTCCCTGGAGGATGATACAGAGAGAGAGGAGAAGGGGTTGGGGTCCAGGCAGAGAGCCTGGGGCCTCCCAACATTGACAGGTGGTGTGTGTGTGAGAGAGAGAAAGAGAGAGAAAGAGAGAGACAGAGAGAGAGAACCAGCAAAGGAGCCTGTGAAGGAGCACATGGTGAAAACAGCAGGAGAGTGAGGTGAAAGAGGGTGAGGCATGAGCACTGCCAGAGCTGTTCCATGGGACCCCAGAAGTGTGCACAGATGGGGGCAAGTTGGCCGGGCCCTGGAAATGCTGTCAGGTGTGTCTCATCTCTCCTGCAGGCTTCTCAGGGCCCAGAGGCTAAAGGCTGGCCACAGCTGCTGCATCTACTCCAGGCAGAGCTACTGGAGCTGGAAGGCCCATGCAGGACACCTGGAAGGCACCAGCAAAGTGTGGGCAAGCGAATCTGTTGGCTAGGCACCCCTAACTCAATGAGCTTCAACTCAAAGCAAATGCTGCTCTTCTTTGAGTCTGCCCTAACTCCCATGGGCCCTTGGGGAATGGCACCACAAGCACCTCATCCTAGCTGCCAGATCACTTCTGTCTCGGAGAGGCCGTTTCAGCTGGGCCCTTCACTTATGCTGCTGTCTCCTGGTGTCATCATGATCACACCATGTCCCTGGGGAGTCAGAGACTGCCCGGAGGCTCCTCCCCAAGGGGCAGGTGGTGTGTGTCAGGGCCCTTCATTGGGCAAGGGGCAGCAGGTGAATTGGCACAGAGGGGCGCAGTGCCTGCAGTCAACATGCCCAAGCCCGTTGAAGGATCTCATCATGCAGGGACCCTAGCCTCCTCTCATGATGCCCCCACTGCTTCCCATGTCTCATCTCTGCAGCATTTCCTCCCTTTCTTGTCTTCCCTCCCCCGGCCTGCCACTCCCTGCTCTGCCACAGCTCCTGATGGCTTACCACCACCAATGACATCAGTAAAAAACACTGTCTCTCCACACCCCTGCACGAACAAGCTTCTGAAACGAGGGGTCCCCAGTCACTATCACCGCCTCCTCATCTTCCCTGACTCCTAAGCCTACCATACAGTGGCTTCCTCCCCACTCAACATTGCCAATGACCCAGCACTAACTCCTACCCCCGCTTCACCTTGGGAGTACTGGACAACCTTTTTCTGGAAGTGCATTCTTGGCTCTCCCTGTGGTCTTGTGTCTGGGAGATACTTCTCAGCCTCCTTTGCCAGTCCCTCCACCTCTGCCTCATCTCTAGCTGGTGAAGTCCCTCAAGGCTCATTTCTCTCCCTTCTTTTCATGCCTCATTCTCTCTGGGAAGCCACCTCATCTGTCCTCACAGCTTCTAGGACTTCCTGTCCATAGGGAACTCCTAAACATCATTGAAGGCTGCAGAGCAGCATGGTTACCAGGCCTTGGGAATTGGACCAGGCCTGAGTTCAAGTCTCAGATCCTCCACTTCCCAGTAGATGGCAGTTGGGCAAAGTTGAAAAATGAGATAAGAGCTCTGCATATAAAGGGCTTAGGACAATCCCCAGTCCACAGGCAGCCACTCACCACAGCTTGCCAACTGCACTGTCTGAGTGCATCAGGAGAGCTGTCTTCTCCTCTCTGGGTGAGGGGAGTCTCTGAACCACTGGGCCTCCAGCCACTGTCAGCCTCCAGCTGGGAGGTGCTGGCACAAGGGACTTAATAACCATTTCTAGGACCTGTCTCTTTGCCTGTAAAATGGGAATGAGTCTTTGTTGGAGGTTTAAATGTCCTTGAAAACATTCAGCACAGGGCCTGGCCCAGTGCAAGCCTCAGAAAATGCTTCCCCTTGTCTGAGCTCGCTGCCTCCAGCTCTTCCTCCTTCCCTACCTCTGGGGTGGTCCTGATCTTTCTGACACATGCATGTCCCCTGCAGTGGACAGTTGCTATTTGCGGCCATCATTCAGGACACCCATTCAGCCCTCCCCCAGAATGTTCCCATCCCTTGTGCAGCCCATGTGTGTCCAGGGAAGTGGTCCCTATGCTAGCTCCATGGAGCCAGCCCTGATGGGGAATTAACAACCACCCCCCCTCACACCAGCCAAAATGACTGTACACACAAGCCAGTTCTGACCAATGAGATGACAGTGTTTATTTGCTGGGGGCATCTGAGGCAGAAGCTACACTACAGAGAGAGAAGGTGCTCCTCTGGCAGTGAACGAGGGATTCCGTGGAAGCTGCAGATACCGGAGAATGCAGAGGCAGGCAGGACGAAACTGGGTATCTGGTGAAATCATTCATCTGCTGCTGATACCGCTGGACTTTTCAGTTTCATAAGCCAATAAATTTCCTTTACTGATTAAAGCAATTTCCTTTATTTGTTAAACCAATTATTAGAAACCCAAAGCGGCCTAGCTAATACAGTTTCTTTTTTATTTTATTTTTTGAGACAGAGTCTCACTCTACTGCCCTGAGTAGAGTGCTGTGGCGTCAGCCTAGCTCACAGCAACCTCAAACTACTGGGCTCAAGTGATCCTCCTGCCTCAGCCTCCAGAGTAGCTGGGACTACAGGCATGCACCACCATGCCCGGCTAATTTTTTCTATATATTTTTAGTTGTCCATCTAATTTCTTTCTATTTTTAGTAGAGATGGGGGTCTTGCTCTTGCTCAGGCTGGTCTCGAACTCCTGAGCTCAAACAATACGCCCGCCTCGGCCTCCCAGAGTGCTAGGATTACAGGCGTGAGCCACTGCGCCTGGCCTATAGTTCCTTTTGGATAGAAATCAGTCTCACACTCACCTTTAGTGTTATGTAAGTTTTCAAAATAAATTTCCTGATTCAACATAAATGAGAGCATTGGTACGTTTATCATCTGAGCTGCCAGACCACACGTGCTCCTAATCCGGTCCCTGCTGGGTAATAATATCCTCAGCTCTCGGGGAGGACCAGGGGTTTTTGTCTGCTCTTCAAAGCCTTCACCCATTGGGCCTCTGTCCATCTTTCCAGCCCAGGGACCCAGTGTTCACCCCCCAAGGCCCAGGCAGGAAGGCCCGGGCAGGGAAGGCAGGTGCAGCTCTGACCACAATGACAGCAGCTCCCTTGGCGAGGGTGGAGGGGCTGGAGCGGTGTCCTCCTGCACATGGTTTCCTTCCAGCCTCTACTGTCCCTAGGGGCCCTCCTCCGAGGAGCAGGTGCTTAGATGATCTCTAGTGCTCATGCAGGGCAGGGTGAAGGAGGAACCAATGCCACCCAACCCATGCTTCTGCCACCTCCCTGGCACCCCAAGGTTTCCTCTCAGGCAACGAGGGGGTCCACAAAGTGAAAGCCCCTGTATATAGGTGGCAGGGGAAGCGTCCATCTTCCGTGCTGTGGGTGAGCGCTGGGTGTGGAGGCCCAGGCCCAGTCCTCTAGCTCTGACACTGCCTTGCTGAGTCACCTGTCAGCCCTAATGGGTGAGAGCCACCCACTTTCAAGAGGAGAAGACAAGCAGACAGGGTGCCCCAGAGAAGAGCTCTGTCACCAAGGGCCAGGACACCTCATCTCCAGGCCATGCTTGGCTATTGCTTCACTTTTGGCTTCGGTTTGTTTACTGAACACAAGGGGGAGAATCCCTGCAGAAACTCCCCATCCTGGGTTAGGGTAAGGATGAAGGACATTGACTCGGGTCAGAGAAGTGGCCCTCACTGTATAGAGTCAATGCTTGGGGACCAAAGTGGCACAGGGACTTGCCTGAAGTCACATCGCAGAGCTAGGGCGACTTTCCGACTCCTCAGCCCCCAACCTGCTCTTCCATTTGTCCAATGCACGCTGGCTGCAGCAGCTGAGGAGGCCCAGGGCTGGCTGTCACTTGGCCTCCTGCAGAGGTTAGCTGAGGGCTATGCCAGACCGCCAGAGGTCAGGTGACAGCTGCTTCCCCTCTCAGGCTTGGGAGGGAGTCACTTGCAGGTTTATTCTTGGTGGGCTAAATGCGAAATACTAAAGCCCATCCCTCCAAACAGCCTTCTAAGCAGCCCTTTTTTCCTCCTCACCCTGAGGTACTTCTAGAAGCTGGCTGGACTCAGATGCTGGCTCCCCACTTCATTGCTAGGTGCCTCCGCTGCGCTGTCTCATCTCTTCTGTGGGTGTGGGAGCGAAACCAGGTCAAGTGCTTTGAGTGGTGCCTAGCAGGTAGCAAGAGCTGGGTACATGCCAGCTATTATTATTATTATGAGCCAAACTGCAACATGAGAACACATTACAGCAACATGCAGCTGCGGCCTGGCCTTGGGCTCCTCCCTATACTCCAAGAATGCTATTTGGAGAACCCCTTCTCCATAGCCTCAGTCACTTCGGGGTGCAGAAAGCGGCTGGCCAAGCGTTCGATGTCATCCAGCGTCAGGCGGCTCAGGGACCTCTCGTAATCCTGAGGAGAGAAGGCCAGGAAGATTCAGGGGTGCCAGTGGGGGGTGGTACACTGTGACAGAGGCAGGGGCTGGGAGCAGCTGGGACTGGAGTGGATGTCCAGGGTTGCCCTTCTCACCCTCTGCAGTTGTTCCAGGACCCTGCTGGCATCTGCTGCACTGAAGTGGCGGGCCAAGACTTTAGAGATCAGCTGCCAGACATGCGGGGGTGGGGAGTCGGCCAGTCTCCGGGCAGTGCCTTCTTCCAGTAACACCTTCTCCAGAGGTTTGACCACTAGGTTGAGCTTGGAATTGGGCCCGATGCTATAATCTGACAGTCGTTTCCCATCTGCCAAAGAGAGACCGATGGGTTCTTTACCCACAGCTGCGGGGGTGGCCCAGGAAGCGATGCCTCCTCAGGCAGCCAGAGCACAGCGCTGCGGCATCTGGCTGTGGTGGATTCAGCCACCTCTCCTAGGATCAAGTGGCACTTGGCACCAGGAGCGAGCACCCCAACCCATCACACTGCTGCCTGGGTTCGGCCTGCACACCCCGGCCCTCGACTTCCTGCAGGGCTCCCTGGGATTCTCCTCTCCCTGGTTACCTGCCAGGGCCTTGCCCTTGAACAGCAGCCGCTGCTGGCGCACGGGGACGTTCAGCTTCTCAGAGACCAGCTGCTTCAGCGTGGACACCAATTCGTCTTCCCGCACCTGACCGGGCCGAGGGTGGGAAGCAGGGGTTGAGCCCGAGGCCCCTGGGCGGCGAAGCCCTCGCTTCCCTTCCTATGGGCAGCTTTCCCGGCCTCCGGCTGGCCCGCCCGCCCCGTCCCCGCCGTCGGCCCCTGCTAGTTTCTATGCCGGGAGCGGGTGAGTGAGCGAGCCGTGCACGGTGGCTCGGGCCTGGGGACCCTACCTGCAGGCTGCACTCGCGGCCCTGGAGCGCCTTCACCGTCAGCTGCATGGCGGCCGCGGCGGCGTCCACCAGGGCGGGCGCGCACCCCTACCGCCCCCCGCCGCCCCGAGCGCGCGCCCGGCCCCGCCCCGCGGCCCCGCCCCCGGGCCGCGCCCCAGGAGGAGGAGTCCCTTTGGGGTGCCGCCTAGCAGACGCGCAGGAACCGCCCAGCTAACGGAACCCCAGCCAAGGCAACGGTGCAGGGAAGCGGCCCGTCCAGGCATCCGGGACGGGGAGGAGGAACGAGTTGCACCAGGTTTGCTTCATCTGGGAGCTGAGGCATGGGAGAAAGAAGGACCGGAAAGTACGCTCGCCCCCGCGGACTGCCTGGCCCGCCCTAAGTTCCCAGCCCACTGGTGGAGCAGGTCAACACAAACCCTGATTCTCTGTCTCTCAGTGCGTCTGCCAGTGGCTCAGCCCTGCCAAGCTTGCCCCACTGCCCGATGGCTTCCGCCTCCTCCTTTCCAGTCTGGCTGCAAAAAACCCAACTGAGCTTGGAAGCAGACAGCAGAGCCAGGTTTCTGCCCTCAGCCTCCTACTGCTCATTCTAGAACAGAGAGGCCCACCTCTTTCAGGGAGGGGATGCATGGGGTGGAGGCTGATAGAGAAAGCCTTCGCAGGGGTCACCATGCCACCCAAACCGCTCCTCCAGCCTGGCCCACACCTACCCAGGCACTCTTCCTACCCCTACTCCCAGGCCCCAGAGGGCAAAGATTGGAAGGGACCCAAGCTTGCTTCTCTCTTTTATTGAAATATATTTTCTGTGCAGTACCCACCTACCTAAATCAGCATGGCCTCTTTGGCACTGAAAGCTGGAGAATAAAAAATCAGTAAAAAAAAATAAGCCTGGATTTTTCTGAGTGCATAGTGCATGAGAACTAAAGGCCTTTGGTACATAAGAACTTTGGGGACAGTGGGTGGAGTGTGAGGGCTGGGGGATGATGAAAGCTTGAGCCAGAGGCCTCAAGGAACTGGGAACAGGCTACTATAGATGAAGTGGCCAATGACCAAGGCCAGCATCTCCGAGGTGCCGCTCAGTGCCACAATGAAGGGGGCCTGGGAGGCATAGTCAGCTTGAAGGCGGCGGAGGGACAGCTGCAGCATGGCTAAGGCCAGCAGACTGTTTTGCACCCCTACCTCGATGCTTACTGTCCGCCGCTGGGCCACTGGCAGTTTCAGGCACGTGGCCAGGCAGTGGCCCACCAAGAGGCCAACTAAGGGCACTGTGAGTCCCACCAGTACAATGGGTAGCCTGACGCCTGCCAAGATGAAGACCCCCATGCGGTAGGCCAGGAATAGGCCCCCCAGGAGGAGCACAAAGCTGAAGGGCTTGATGACCTGCAGCAGCAGCTGGGAGAACTTGGGGAGCTTGGACTTGATCACAACGCCTGCTGCTATGGGGATGGCGATGAACAGCAGAGTCCCCAGGATCTTGGAGATGGGCACATGGAGTGTTTCATGGATGCTGAGCAGGTGGCTATAGATGGCTGAGGACAGTGGCAGGAAACCGGTGGCAGCCACTGTAGAGATAAAAGTCATGGAGATGGCCAGGGTGACATCCCCTCCAAGAAGGAGGCTGAAGAGGTAGCTCCCCCCACCACCCGGTGACGAGCAGGTGATGATGAGGCCCAGAGCCAAGGCCTTGGGCAGCATGAAGACCTTGGCCATCAGGAAAGCATAGAAGGGCATGACCAGAAACTGGCCTAGGAGGCCCAGCAGCATGGGCTGGGGGCTCTGCACGAGCCCCTTCAGAACCTCAAGTTCCACTTTGCACCCAAACGAACACTTGTTAACAAACATAAGAGGCAGGAGCAGGTAGAGTATTGGGTTCTCCGAGAAGTGGGCCAGGTCGGTGCTAAGGGTGGCAGGGGTGTCTTCAGCAGGTGACACCTTGATGCAGAAATCTCTCCGCTCCTCGATCAGCATGGGTGGGGCCTCATGGGGATCCATGAGCTGGATGTGGAGTGGGGCCAGCCCAGCCAGACCTGAGTGGATGCTAACCACAAAGCCACCCCCACCGCCCCAGCTTATGGCACTCACATTCTTGATGGTCAGCACCTCTGTGTCCAGGGATATGACCCTCAGTGTGGGGCCGGGCCCCCTCCCATTGGCCTGGCCTGGGTACTGGCTTGAGATCACGATGATGCCCTCACTCTCCTCAGGAAACTCGAACTCCATCACAGAGCCATCCCCAATGCTCAAGTAGCGACCTCCTGTCAGTGGCACAGTGTGGCCCAGAGCTGTGCTGAGGTTAGCACTGGCTGTCCCTTGGGTCCCCCATGGCAGGCTGATGAGCAGCAGGGCAGCTCCGAGCATGCCTAGGGGGCCTGTGCAAACATCCCCCCTTCCCTGGCCAGGCCACTGCTGGGAACAGCCCCCACCCCTCTTTAACACCATGACTCTTCCCGAAGGATGGATGGTGTGCCCAGGCTTTGTGCGACTTAGGAGAGCATCCCCACTGGTGCTGTTGGACTGTCCAGGGAAGGGTCCATGGGTGGGTCCTTGTCTTGTGCTGTCTTCCTTGATGGCAGAGCTCTCCCTGAGGACATAAGGGACACAGAGACACTGGTGAGGGCAAGTAGTTGCGAGCCCAGGAGCATGGGGATCTGGAACCCCACTGCTAAAAGACTTAGCAAGGCCCCTTGCCCCAAGCTTGGGAATGGAGAGGCAATGCCTAGTGCTGGCCCTTGAGTGCCATTTGGCTGTCTTCTCCCCCAGCACAGCCACCTCAAGCTTCCTATCCCTCGTCCAGAGGGGCCACCTACAGATAGAAGTTCCCATTCAGCCTGCTGATACTTGCTGATTTCCCTGGGCTTGCCCACATCACAGAAATGTCTTGATACCAAGGGATTCAGGAGAGCCGTCCCCAGTCTTGTCACCACTAGCCTATTCCCCACTGGCATCGAGATGCAGCTATAGTAAGGCTGCAGCAATACCACAATGGGGATGAAATCTTCCAGAGGCTTCCCAGGGATGACCAGGAGACCAGATGAATAAGAACAAATGGTGCTGATGGTTAACTTTGGCTTGGGCCAGATTTGGGAGGCCTTCAGAGAGTAGGTTAGAGGGTTGAGTGTCATTTGCCAGGCACAAAGTTGCTGGCAAAGTGGTGTGGGCAGTGGGTGATCACTAGTCCCAAGGCCCCAGGGGCTGATGTTTGCCACCAACACAGAGTTGGGAACAGTGCTGTTGTGGCTACTTGGACTGCCCTACCTGTCCTATAATGATGAGATGGAGGTCCTAGTGGAAAGCAGGCACCCCCTCCCCAGGGAAGTTGCCAAAAGGGGCAGCAGGAGTGAGTCAAATAGAGCCACATGTCCACTGGGGGCTTCTCCTCCTTCTGTCAGAGCTCCCCCTTCTCTGGAAGTCTCAGAATTTGAGCTCCTAGAGCTGCTGCATCACATCTGAGAGCCTCTGCTTGGAGTCCAGGGGCTCTTCTCCATGCCCACATGTGCCCCTACCAGAGCCCCAAACTCCCAGTAGGACTATGAGTGCTTCTAGGGGATTGTGGTACCTCAAGGGTGAAAGGAAGAGGTTTGCCTCCCCCCATTTCTCAGTTTTGGCAGCCACCATCCTAGTATCAAATCATCTGCTAGAACTGGGGCAACCAGGATGTGGACACAGCAGTTTTACATCACTACTGGCAGTTGCCTCACACCCTGTAGTGTCCCAGTCCTGGAAGAGGCCCCTGCCTCTCTAGAGCCTATCGGTATTTGGCCCTGGCCTCCCCTCATCTGAGACTGGGGAGACGGGGAAGTGGGGAGCAGAGGGCAGGGTAAGCAAAAAGCCCACCCCTGGGAGGCCGGGCGCGGTGGCTCACGCTTGTAATCCTAGCTCTCTGGGAGGCCGAGGCGGGCGGATGGTTTGAGCTCAGGAGTTCGAAACCAGCCTGAGCAAGAGCGAGACCCCTGTCTCTACTAAAACTAGAAAGAAATTAATTGGACAACTAAAAATATATAGAAAAAATTAGCCGGGCATGGTGGCGCATGTCTGTAGTCCCAGCTACT